GAATTTAATGGTTTGAATTTGAATTAATTTTCTTTGAAACTGTATTTTGGTCTATTAAAATTTCAGTTTGATTACTTTCACGTTCAGTTCTAGAATTCAATTTCAATTCCAAAATTCAGATTTTTGTGTCCCACATCCCTGGTCCTTGAGAAAGCCAGCCAGAGTAATCAAACACAGATGGACAGATTTATGTTTCACTTTGGTGAAGTTTCTACCTATACGTAGAAAATGTTACATTTATATCACATCATGGATCACATATTGATCAGCTGCTGCTGCTGACTGATCCATGACAGGATGTAAATGTAACATTTTCTATAGGTAAAATTAATCACTGCAATAAAATAACTGTTTTTTTTGTCACTTTTGCGGTGGATTACATCAACTCTGTTACATATAGAAGGGAARCTTCACCAAAGTGAAACATAAATCTGTGTATCTGTGTTTGATTACTCTGGCTGGCTTTCTCAAGGACCAGGATGTGTGACACAAAAATCTGAATTATGGAACTGAAAGTGAAAGTAGTCAAACTGAATTTTTAATAGACCAAAATACGGTTTCAAAGCAAATTAATTCACATTCAAAACTTTAAATTCAGTTTCAAATCATTAAAATCAGTTTCAATTTAGTGAAATTCATTTTCAAACCAATGCATTCAATTTCAAATTATGCACATTCAGATTCAATCTGAGCAATTCAAATTCWATTCCTGCTGGCACAAGTTTTATCCCAYAGAGAAGCCTGGTTTAGACTGCAGTACCTCTCCATACAGGACACTGGATGGCAGTTTGCCCTTCACACCACCAAAGTTAGCTGGGTCCATCCACAACAGGAACTCCCAGCACTGGGAGAAGGAGATGGACAGAGAGTGGAAGATTTCTCTKGAGTGTATGCTGGAGAGGAGACAGACAGGCAGATGATTTGTCAAATCTTATGGCACAAACAGATGAGACTGAAAATGTTAAGCAACATGATTATAAAATCAAAATGAACATGAAAAAGCTTGTTTGAGTCAGAAACAAATGAGCAATGAAAACGTTTCAATAAAGAATGCAACTTCATGTCATGAGCAGTGCTCCTCTCACTTGTCACACTCAACTTGTGCCTTGAGTTCCTGTTGACCTCTAGAATTTGTTATTATTTAAGGCAACTGAAGCCAAATTATCACCCATGTTTTGTATGACAGCTAAAAATCAAAAGTTCAATAGGTAATCATGCATTCACAAAGAACATTTTGGCATTGTATAAATGACTCTAGACTTTGTGCAGCCTGCAGAGTGGTGAAGCCTGCAGAGAAGATCACAGGTATTTGCACTGTAGAGAAGGGCTGCCCTGTATATAGAGTAGTGCTGTACCAAGTTATTCTGATGTGAGTGCACTGGAAATTTAAAATGTTTTCATCAAATTAACAGAAACAGTTCTTTAATATTGTAATATTTTCTGTAATAGTTTTTTCATGGACACAAAATATGCACTCTAGAGTCAATTCTTTAACAAAAAAAAGCTTAAAAGATTTAACATCAACATAAAATCTCAACCAAAGCATCTAAAATTCAAGTAAAAGAAATATAGTGCAAGATGTTAACAACCTAACCAACTCATTGTATTGTAACATCAGTTGTGTAACTTATTTCTTTAAGGTGAAAACTGTTGAAAACAACAAGACTGTTTTGTCTTATTGCACAAATTAAAATCCAGCTCCACATGTTTCTATTGATGTCATTTCCCCACTAGAAAAATGTGTGATGGAGGTCCATGGAAGGCAAATAAGTTTAAATCAAATAAACAAAAGAGGATGCAGTTAAAACAAAATAAAAGGTATTTAAGCAACGTTTTGAACATCCAGAACACGTCCGTTGGACGCTACAGAAGATCTTTCCTGCCCACAGCCATCAGCATCTACAATAAGTTTTTAGTTAAATGAGTTACAACACCTAATTTCCCTCTGGGATCAATAAAGTATTTTTGAATTTGAATTGAATTTGAATTGAACACTTGTTGGCTGCTTGTGCTCTTTAGGTCAGACGTGTGTCGGGAAGCTCCTCTGTTGTTTGAGACGCTGGGGGAACCGTCTGATGGGGGAA